ATTGGAATGGATTGAAATAGAATAATAAGCCTCCGTTTGGGAAGTGGGTTGGCTTTTTGGCTTTTTGGCTATTTTAGCCTGGGCTATTTTAGCCTGGTTTGGGAAGGGCTTTTTGGCTTTTTTGGCTTTTTTGGCTTTTTTTGTGAGAGATGATTGTAATGATTATGGGTTGGATTTGATGTTTTGTTTTTTGTAGCTAAAATAGCCTATTTTGTTTTTTGCAGCTATTTTAGCCAAAAAAGCCTGGGCTTTTTCTTGCCAAACGGAGGCTAATTCCATCAAAATATTTCATTCTCATATTTGGTTAAACTAAAAAAATGATGAAAATTTGATTTTCAAGGGATTATTATATAATTTGCTTCTTGGATTTGGATTATGTAATAGTGTAGGGCATGGGTTATACATTTAGTCTCAGCCTTGGATTTATGTAAGTAGTGCAGGGCAAGGGTTATTATATATCACATATGGTCTGAGAAATCCTTGTTTGTTTCATATAATTTTATTTCGATATAGTTAGTATAAATAAATATTATTCTTATACAAATAAAATTATCTTGTTACCTAGGATTCTCCCTAAAGAAAAGAAATTCGAAATAGAATTCTCATTTTTTGTTGAATTTATTGTTTTTAATTTTATAAGGCTATTTTTTTGTTTAGAATGGAATTAATCGTGATTTTAAAGGAAATAGGATGACATCTATAGGGAATTGAATTGATTGATTCATCCCTAGGATGAATTTTTAATTTTATTTTTTTCGTTTTTAATTTTATAAGGCTATTTGTTGTTTAGAATGGAATGAATCGTGATTTTAAAGGAACCCTAAGATGAATTTTTAATTTTAATTATATAAGGGTATTTTTTGTAGAATGGAATTGATCGTGATTTTAAAGGAAATAGGATAACATCTATAGGGAATTGAATTTCATCCATCAATAGGATGAATTTCTAATTCTATTTTTGTCGTCCGATATCATCTTTCATCTATAGGGAATTTTTAATTCTATTTTTGTCGTCCGATATCATCTTTCATCTATAGGGAATTTTTATTATATTTTTTTTCATCCGATGTCACCTGCATACACATAGGATGACATCTCCTATAGGAGGATGTTCTATTTTTTTTATCCATAGTTTTTTGTCGTCCGATGTCATCTTTCATCTGTAGGGAATTTTTATTTATATTTTTTTCATCCGATGTCAGCTGCATATGCATAGGATGACATCTCCTATAGGAGGATGTTCTATTTTTTTTATCCATAGGATGACATCTATAGGGAATTGATCGTGATTGACATATATGTGTAAGGGTACCGATAGTAACACTCCCACAATTTCTTATTGAACCTAACAATTTATGTGGATGTTTATTAACTCAACATCTTTGTCTTATATTTTCGATATGGGACAAGCACAAAGATTAAAAGAATTTTCTACAAGAAAATAAGAAAGATTTTGAAAATTACAAAAAAAAAAATAAAAATCCATTTTATTTTTGAAAATTTCCCAACACAAAAAGGTTGAGATTAGTTTGTAACTAAAAGAAAAACAGTGTGAGATGGGGTTATGAGAAATCAAATTATTAACCTTGATTCGTGAAGGATTTGATTAGTGGCTCATTCAACATTCTTCACATTTTTTTTTTCTTTTATAGATCAGAAAGAAATATTTTATTACAAAACCGATAAAAGATCGAAAATATCCCAATAGTAATTATGCGTTACAGTAAAAAACTAAACAGCCAAAAACTTGGTCATATTTATAAATTGTAGTTTGTATTTTTAAAACAAGTCAAATACAAATTATCTAGCTATACAATTGTAAAGAGAAGATTGGAGTTGGTGTTTATATCTTATTTTTTGAGTTTTCTCAAAATACTCCAATAGTAATTATGCCTTACATTTTATTTTTATTTTTTTACATGGGCAATTATGAATATATTTTTTTTTTCAAATCTCTCAATTGTTGATCTTTTTAGATTCATTAAATGTTTTAATTTTTAAATTTAATCATACATTTCACATTTGTTTTTTGAAAAAAAAATATATATACATACACATCGCATGTACCCATCACGTTTAGTGTCTTTAAATTCGAGTCTGGCAAAGTTGTTATCAGTTTCTTGGTATCATCTAGGTTGGAGAGATTTTCCATACAGTTTATGTGACCACCAGAGTCTAATTTGACCATTATGCCTTGATTGATTAGCCTTATTTTAATTTATCGCTACGAAATTTAAAACCTTATTCTTAATTGTTTTGTAATAGAGATGGCCATTGATGTTTTGCTTGCATGCTTATTAGTAACTCGAGAAAATCTTCATTTTCTGAGAATGTGATCGGTCACACTTCCTTGCAGGATCGATTGTTTCATAAAGATAGATTGTGTTCGAGTAGTAACTAGTAATTGCTAGAGGATCAATAGCATGTCGATTACTTCAAATTTTGAAATTTTAGTAGTTAACGATTGCAAAGGGATAGTCACATTGAAGAGCGATTGATTGTGCCAACACAAGCGTGATCGATTGTACTTGACTAACACAAGTGTGATCAATTGCCTTGTTTTAAGTTTGCTATTTTCTCTCTCTTCTCACACTTTTTCACCTTCTCATCCGAAATTGCCTTTTGCTTCTCTCTACTTTCTCTCACTAAAAATTTGTGTTGTTAACTCATTGAAACCTTAATCTAAGACTCCTAGAGTGGGTATTTTACAAAAACTCAATAAATATTGTAGAACACATTAAGAGTAACATTTTCATCATAATTGATTTTTTATTTGATCCCATTTGAAATCCTAGGGCTCTACTCTTCTTCATTGAGGTAGAGACTTCTTACTTATGTTTAAATATGAGTTGGATTGTAGATATGTGGTAGTATTTTGAGGAAATATTATTTTGCTCTCCAACTATCACTCAAAAATTAATTCAACCCTTAACTTTTTATTATATCAATTTTATACTTAAACTATTCAATTTTGAATCAATTTCATCCATTGGCTTTCCAATTTTAGCTATGAGCATAATGTTTCCTAAAGTTTGAGGAGCCTATGTTTCCTATTTCACTTGGCCCCGTTATTTGGTTTTGTCTCCATCCCATAATTGCAATAAAAAAAGTATGGATACATACATACTACATAAATACGCCTACACAATAATTTTTTTTAAAAAAAATATAGGATATGACACGTTGGGAAAATGTACAGAATATATTATTTTATGTATTTATTATATGTTTAATGATAATTAAAAATTGCAACATAATACTAATTTTCAACGTCTAAAGTAGGAGAGCTTAATATGTATAAATTTTCATTGCTTTTAATGGCATGCAAAAGTGTGCCATAAAAAATGTTTATTTTCACGGCATACAAAAAATCCAGAAAATGCATGTCGTAATTTATGAGCTCATCACATTTTTCTACGGCTTTATGTTTGCGGCATGTATTAAATGCATGTCGTAATTAATGTATTTTATGACTTTTTTTTTATGGAAGCCGTTAACACTTTGTCAAAAACGACATACATATCATGTAAGTCATTAATTCATATATTTACGGCATTCAAAATATGCTTTAAAAAAATTATATTCTTACGACTTGCAAAAATTTGTCTTGAAATATTAACACTTATGATGACATGCATTTTATGCCGTAATGTATCATAACTTTATACGGCGTACGTTAGCATGTCATGAAAACTTCTACTAATAAAATTTAAATTTAACACCAAATAATAATTTAGTAAATATAACAACTCGCTTTTGCAAAATAGAGTATCCTGAAACTCAAAAAATTATTTTTAAATTTTTTGCTTTTCGATTTTTTTTATATGTATTGATATTTTTTATTTTAATTATTTTTTTAATTTTTAAAAATACTTAAAATGTAAAAGTATTTTAAAAAAAATCTAACAAAATTCACTAAATATGAAAAATAAAAAAAAATACTTTTTTTGCAAAAAAAAAAAATCACTAAATATGAAAAAGAACAAATATATATTTGTATTTGGTTACAAAAATAGATTTCGTCAAAAATATTTTACTTTTTAAATTGATGTATATTAAGTAAATTTAGAAAGTAAAAAAAATAATAATAATTTAAATATGAAAACATTTACTAAAACATAAGGAAAAAAAAAGGAATATTTTACTTATGTTTTAGTAAATGTTTTCATATTTAAAAAAATAATAATAACATTTACTAAAACATAACAGTTTTTGAATTTCAAAACCAAATTGAGTTATAGGTAAATTAAAAATTTTAGCATTTATTCAAAGGAAAATGTTTGGTGGACCGAATTTCTGTGGCTCGAATATGTCAAAACGACGTCGTTTTGAGTGTTTCGAGCTATGTTTTTTCGGGCCACCTAGCATTGTTGTTATTCGACATGATAGGGTATTTTCAGGTATTGTTTGGCATGTGCTATTTTAACACTCGACATGATAGGGTATTTTCAGGTATTGTTTGGCATGTGCTATTTTAACACACTATTTTGTTTGAAATACATCATTTTTTTTTATCACATCACTTTAATCTCAACAAATATTTTACATTTTTTTTATAAAAAATCAAAAATTAACAACTCCCAAACAATCCCTTTAACTCAAAATACTTGCCATTTTAACTCATAATTGTTTCTCATTTTCCACATTTCATATTTGCTAGGTATTTATTTATTTAGTTAAAAGGACGTTAGAGTCCTGATCTTCATTGTCAAAAACAAAAGCCCTAGCTCTTGCTTGCAATCTTTCTTGCCGAGCTCTCTGAAATTTCATGGCTATCCCCACCTCTCACATTGCATTGAAGATGGATGATGAAATTAGGACTGTGCATAATACTGTCATAATCGCCAAAATCGCACCGAACCGTGAAAAATTTCAACTCTAGCAGGCAGGTTGGGCGGATGGGAGGCCCAACACTGGCGGGTGAAATTTCCCAACCCACAGGTCGAACTGACCCGACCCGCATATTTTAATTAAAAAAAAACCTGTTATGCTTATACACACACACCTTATACTCTCACGCGCGCGCGCACAATAATTTCTCCATCAAACCTAATTGACACATCAATTTCGTCTCATTCACACTCACACACACAGTCTTTCCTCACAGCCGCTGCTACAACATCTCATCGATTCACACACATCGCCGCTGCCGCTGTGCCGACAGCCTTTCGTCTCCTTCCCTTGCCGATCTGTTAGCCTCTCCTTTCCTCACGCTCAGCTGCTGTGCCGATTGGCTCACCACCACCGCTGTTAGTCTCTCTCTCTCTCTCTGATAGTTTCTTTCGCTGCTCTCTCTCAGCTCTGTCTATCGTTACGGAAAGAGAGTCTCTGATGTATATGCTCTATATACATAATTTATACATATATAACATCAGTGAATAAATATTCTATGCTCTCTCTCCGTTCTAATTTAACTGATTGAATTTAATTTTTTATTTATACTTATTATAATTTTTATATTTTATTGTGTGAATTTAATTTTTATAACATCAGTGAATTTAATTTTATTGTGTGAATTTAATTTTATATTTTATTGTGTGAATTTAATTTTTATAACATCAGTGAATTTAATTTTTATAACATCAGTGAATTTAATTTTATTGTGTGAATTTAATAAGTATAATTTTTATTTATACTTATTATAACGTCAGTGAATAATATTTTATTGTGTGAATAATATTTCAATTATATTTTTTATAAACCGTCAATCCGTCCGAACCGCCAAGGCAAATCCTTCCGTCATTATTTGCCAACCGAACCGCCGATTTTTATAAGAAAAATGACAAATTCTAATGACATTTTTATTAATCCGCCACTCGCCATACAGTTTCTATTTTTCTCCTACGCCGCACCGACCCGCACCACGCACACCCCTAGATGAATCTATCGCAAATGACTTCTCTTTCGGGAGCTTTTTCTCTCGAGAACTGTGTCTCAGAAGGTGTGCAATCTCTATCTCTATCGCACAAGCGGTGCCCTCTCTATCTAAGATCTGAATTTGATTTTCATTTTTGATCTGATTTGCTTTTGTATTTGATTTTCGTTTTTGGTCTGATTGACATTTGTATTTGATTTTAATTTTTTGGAATGTTTGAATTTGAAGGGTTCATGCCCTAGCTCTGCAGAATTGCCTTTGTATTGATTGAGCTATTGATTGTCTTGTTGTGATTGAGATATTGATTCAATTTTGGGATTGGGATTGATTAAGAAGAAGTCGGCAAACAACGACGCGATGACGAACAATTCATCGCTGATCTGCTCTGGTTCTCCCTCAATTTTTTTTCTTCTTTTCTATTCATTTTATACTAGTCTAGTAGCCTCTTTCTTTGCTAGGAGGGGCTCTTTTTTTCTTTTTTTTTCAAGCAAAGAGTAAATTTATTAGAAGGCACCAAGGGGGTGCCACCAGTATACAAAGTTAGAATAACCAGAAATTAAACGCCTCTACATTGAAACTGTTAAAAAAAACACCTATATATAAAAAAATATTCAAGAATCTCTACAAAATCCAAAAATTAGTTCAACCGTGTGGTCAAACACTGCCCAAGAACCAACTTTAGAATCATGAAGCCAATAAATTACAAATTCAAAATAATTTCAAGCAGATTCACCAAAACCAACTCCAGCAAACATCTCAATTTAAATTTATGAAAAAAATTGGACAAATCATCAATAGAAGGGTCCTAAGAATGCTGCAAGCAACAGATGCACTTCCTCCATGGGGATTGAAAAGTATTCATCAATTAACATTTTTGAGGTGAACCAAGTAGAAGATGTATTTACCATTCCTTCCAGCATTTTAAGTAATGCTTGCTGGACACCCTTCCCTGAAACATCTCGGCTTATATTGAGGCTCTCAGCCTGCAATATGAAAATGGAAAATTGGTGCAAGAGTGCAGAAGAAAGCTATGTTACTTTTGGAACATAAATAAAAGATAATTCTCAACCCTCAAACAGTGTTAGAGAAACCTTTTTTGTAACTTGTCAACTTCATCAATATACACAATGCCTTGCTGGGCAGCTGCCACATTATAGTCAGCAACCTGAGGCAATAACAGGCCAGGATAAGAACAAAAGATCATATTCAATCACAAAAGTTGTTACAAAAACATTCAAATTGAAATTTAAAAGGCCACAACGAGAGTAACAAGGCAAGTAAAAATGGTACTTTGTGCAAAACCTATTCTCTTTAATACTTCATTGGAACGTACATGTAGTCCAATAAAAATGTCAAAGTAAAATGGATGAACTTCTTGCAAGAAATATGATTTTTCAATGCGAGAATTTTAAAATAGCAAAAGGTAATTCAGGCTTCAACAAGTGACAAAATAAGGAAAGCAATAAAGGCTTCACAACCAAAAAATACAACATAAAAGGATGTTACACCGGTCTCAAGCTTGAGAGCAAATCAGAGTTGGGCAATTATGCAACAAACAATATTAGTTAAAATCATAAACAAATAGGATATGGAATAGCTTTATAGCAACTATATGATCCGAAAGTCCACAGACTGTCATCGACAATCAGAGGCCAACACTCAACGCTTAGAAATGGTTGCCTGGTCACCAAAATAGCGTCCTTCATCATTAGGGGCGATGTTCTTTTATCCGTGATGAGCATTGACAAAGTTCAGTAAATTCCAGACAAGATATGGACTCCACATCTTTCCCAACATACTCTGCCTGCAAAGAACAATATGTTGTCATGGGCTCAACAAAACCAGATCTGTCAACACAAAACTCTATATTCCATTATTTCCCGTAAAATCACAACAAACCTCAAAAAAAGAGAAAAATTCCAAAACATATAATTTGTCTACATTCTCAACAGAAAGAATAAGGTGAAGCGTTAAAAACTTAAACTTATTGAGAGTGAAGGATGACATAACATTCAAATTTATCGAAAGATAAAAAGCTTAATGCATGGAACCAAGCTATTATTTTTCTTAAAAATAAGCAGACGACAAAAGTAGAGCCATGGCCATGGCCATGATGAAGAGCTACCAACTTGCCTAAGTGTAGTGGCGTCTGCAATAACAAAGGGAACATTCACCAACCGTGCCAACGTTTTGGCTAGTAATGTTTTCCCTGTCCTTGAAACAACATCAGAAATGTGAGAGAGAGAACCAATAACTGAAAGTAAGGTGTCAGAAAAGTGGAAGTTATATCTAACCAAGCTTTGTTTTCCTCAATTTTAACCCTGCTAATTTAACTAAAAACCAACAATATACCAACTTCTTTTATAAAAAATAAATTAAATGAAAATTCAACAAACCAATTTTTAGCATCAACTTGAATGTTCATGAAACGAGAGAGAATTGATATTTTAGAGATTTGTTATACCTATCACAACATAGTGGCAATAACAAATAAGAAAGTATTGTATTAGTGAAACGTGTATAAAAAGGATCTTGACACTTAGAACTACAGCGTCACTCTAAAGCATGGATGCTTCACAGTTTTCGATCAACCAGCATTCACAATAGATGTTTGCAACTAAGATATCCAATATGATACTCATTACTCATGTTGTGAGTGTATGCACAGAGAGATAGAGAGAGAGAGAGAGAGAGAGAGATGCAACACCTGGCACCAGTCTTGACACTTAGAGTTATCCAATCAATTTCAAACCACTAGTCTTTATTAAATTCGAAGTTCTACTTAAAGATTCTTTACCAAACTTCAATATTCTGGCACAAAGTATTCATATTCAAGTACAAACATCAGTGGCGAATTAAGGAAAATACAACAGTATATTACCTGAACCTGTTGGCCCCATTAGAAGAATGTTACTTTTCTCAAGTTCCACCAAATCGTCATCAGAAGCATCTGTTTTTTCATTGACTGAATCTCCTGCAGGCCTAACTTTCCAAATTGTAGTGACAAATGTTATAAGTATATATCATCATAAATGTGGCCATCAGAATTACAAACCAAACAGACAAATAAACAAACTGAGCATTGGCCTTGTCAGGGAGATGAGATCAAAAGTGTAAATTTCAATGTCCATAATTCCAACATACGGATTCCTATGTCAAATAATTTTATTTCTTTCCAAAAGGTTTATACAAGAAAGAAAAGATAATTGATGTCCACCTTAGGTTTAGAGCTAACCACTTCTTATGATTAGTGAATCTTAGAGATTAGTGAATCTTATAATTTGGATACTTTTTTTGATTTGTATGTTTGAGGTTGTTATCAGCGTGATATGATAGAAGTTGAGGATGAAAGTTAGTATGTAGGTTGTTTGGGGTATGGATATTAGATTTTTTTGCTTACTTCATAGTTGCTGCTTCTGTTTGGTTTGTTAACAGGTTGCATTTTATAAGCTACTGTCTACATACTGTTAGGCAAGGTTATATTCCTATATATATATTATATATTAAAAATAACCTTCTACGGCATATAAAATTGTCATGAAAAGTGTAATGATTTATGACATGTAAGAAAATGCCGTAAAAGATTATATACGGCATACAAAGTATGCCATAAATATATTAAATATGACATTCTATGGCATATAAAATTATGCCGTGAAAAGTGATGATTTATGACATGCAAGACGGCATACAAAGTATGCCATAAATATATTAAAAATAACCTTCTACGGCATGCAAAATTATGCCATGGAAAGTATGATGATTTATGGCATGACAAAAATGTCATAAAAAATTATATACGACATACAAAGTATGTCATTAACGTTTAATTTATTACTTTTACAACTTTACCTGCATGCCGTAAATGATGCTCAACTTTCCATGGTATGTCATATAACGGCATTTGTGTGCATGCCGTGAAAGAGTTTTTACGATATGCATTGCAAGTCATAAAAATTCAATTTTGTTGTAGTGTTATCTTGGGGGAACATTTTAATCATTAATTGTAAACAAATTATCTTGGGTTGGGATGAGACGTTTTGCCTCCATAAGACAATATTTCTACAACACACTGAGTCTCAGCACAAGGCCATTACTTGAATAGGGCGGGATTGATTGATATCCATAATTTATAATGTGAAAGCAGTAAATAGTAGTATACACATGTTGAGCACATTTACCTCTATATATATCACTACAACAAAAACACACTTTAGTGGCACTGCACTAGTGGTATGTTTTTAGAAAATGTCACAAAAATAATATTTGGTGACACGTTTTAGAAAAATGTCACAGAACCACAAACATATATGCAATGTTTTTAAAGGCGAAAGCGCAAGGCGAGGCGTTTTACCCTTGTTGAGGCGAGGCGTAAGCCTTGAGGCGTTGAGGCGTAAGCCTTTTGAATTTTGATTTTTTTAATTTTTATAAAATGTAAAATTAATTAAATATAGCATAAAAAGAATAAAAAAAATAAGAATTGCCAAATAAAATTTTTAAAGGCCATTCTAAGCATATAACCAAAATTAATTAATTATTTCAAGTATTATAAGTATCACCTACTCTATCTTCTCTTTTTTGAATTTTGAAATCGAACTCTTCAAAGGCTTCCGCCTTGCTATCGAAAGCGTCAAAAGCGCATGAAGCCCGACAACGGCTTACGCCTCTGATCTTGACGCGTACACATAGCTGGGGTCTCGCCCCAAACAGAACGCATCTGTGCGTTTTCTGTACGCCTCGCCTCAAGTCGCGCCTCGAATACGCCTTTGAAAACCTTGCATATAAGGCTCTAGTGGCATTTCAATAAAGAAATGTCACATCAATTTTATGGCATTTTATAAAAGAATGATGCAGGAAATTGTTTTAGTGACATTTATCAATGGATGCCACTGAACTTTAAGTAGCAATGGCATTTTTTAAAAAATGTCACTAAATTAGGTAGGTGCAAGTTACTTTTTATGGCATTAGGTGAAAAGTGTCATAAACAAATATTTTATAGCATTTTGAGAAATGTCACTAAGCCAAAAACTTTCCAAGCTATCTAATGGCATTTTTTGAAAAAACAAAAAATGCCAATATATTTTCAAAATTTTTAAAATGCACAAAATAAATAAAAACAAATAATTAAACTAAATATAACATTTTTTTTTTAAACTATAATTGCTATATGTACAAAATTGATCAACGAGTTTATATGATTTAATAGGAAAAATAAAATTTCAAATTGCTCTCCTATACAATGATAAAGTTTCTTGAATTTTAGTCTCTGTAGTTTCAATTAACTCGATCTTGACTCAGAATTTACGGATTTATCTCAATTTATTTCAATTGCTTATAATTGTTGAGTAAAATGAAGATCTTGAGATGCTCTACTTTTTTCCAAAGGCATTAGGGTGGAGAACTCAATGGATCTAGGTGAAAATGTAGAGAGAGAGGGTTTCAACTTGAGGGTTTTGAGGGAAATAGATTTGAAAAAGTGATGAAAAAAGTCCCTTTCACGAACTGATATACGCATAGTCCCGCTTGAGCACAAGAAGTGACGCTCGAGCGTAGAAAACAACAATCCAATACTTTTGCAGACAATAGACCAACGCTCGAGCGCAAGAAGTGACCGCTCGAGCGCAGAAGGACCCGCTTGAGCGTAGAATACACTCTCCCAGTAGTTTTGTAGACCTGCAAAAGTACTGGGAGTTTGCAAAGCCCGCTCGAGAGCAAGAAGTGCTGCTCGAGCGGAGGAGCAAAATTCTGGGGGACAAGAGTTTGGAAAACAAGCAACCAACCTGTCCCAAAAATAACCATGGCAATCCAAAAGACAAACTTGTGGGAAAATAAGGGGAATAAGAGATGAACAACAATATTAAATCATGAAACCCGAGTCCGGAATACAATAAAGGTCGGGTCAAAATCGGAATCGCTATAATCTCCATAGATGAGAGATGACAAATATCCAACTCCACCATTTACATACATATCTATGCAATCTCGCATTTCCCATACCAATTTCATTATTTATACAAAATAATTGTGTGAAACATTATTAGGGAAAAATCTCATTTTTTCCCGAATCCAACCATTTTCTAAAAATTCATTCTCGTCATTTTACAAAATCAAAACCAAATCCATTCTCTTTATTTTACAAAACCAATTACATTGGTATCAACACCATAACTTAACTCATCTACACATGTTTAGTCTAAAACAATATCAATACTGTGGTTGCATCTCTTTTTAATTTCTTTTGATATAAACACAGATATAGAACCCATATTAGCAAAATACAAAGATTGTTCAACTTCCTCCCTTTTAAATCCATTAAATCAATAATATTAAATTAGGGCTTTCCTCCCTCTCTTCACAAACATATTAAGGCCTTGTTTGTCATGTACTAAAAAAAGCCAAAAAGTCACTATCTTATATCATCTTATTTAAGTCACATCACCTCTCTACCACATCACTTCAAACCCAACCCAAACCTAAACCCAAACCATATTTCATAAAAAGTCAAAAAGTGCACTTATTTAGAACATCCCAAACCACCCCTAAATCATTTCGCCAATTAACCCAAACAATAACTTAACTCCTATCACAAATATCAAACCTTAGATCCCCTTTCATGGCTTTCAAGAAAATCCATAATGAATATGGTTTTTATGCAATAAAATCTGCCACGTATCTCTCTATAGATGAGATATTGGAAAGGAGCAAAGAAATCCTTGCCTCTTGAAGCAAAGAGAAAACAATCCAAAAATTACCGGCGACGAAACTGCGAACTATTTGGATCAAAAGAAAGCCCTTGACGAGATCTACAATCTTTCTCAAAGGACCAAGGTGAAAAGATCACTCTAGGTGAGTAGATCTAAAGATCTTGGGTGAAAAAGCTTGAGTTTAGAGAGAGAGAGAAGAGAACTCACGATGTAGAGAAGGAAAAATGAAATGAATAAGTGTTTGGAGCCTATTTATAGTAGCAAGGTAATAGTAGAACAATAGCCCCAATGTCAAATGAAAAGAACAAGTCAAAAATCTCCAAAAAGTAGGGCCCAAACCGACCCAAAAAGTTGAAATTTACACGAAAGAGTCGAGCCTTCGGACAGAGGTGTCGACCCTTCAGGCCAGTGTTTTTAAAGGCTTAAGGCGCACTAAGGCGCTGAAGGTCTCTCGGGGCCTAGGCGCAAGGTGCAAGGCGCAAGGCGAGGCGCGGGCTTTATTGAAGTAAGGTGCACAGTCTTAGTAAAAAATAGAAAAATTAACATAGACTAATCATTCATAGTACTAAGATAATTTTTTTAAAAATAAAAAGTAATCAAGATTCAAGACAAAATATAGAATAATTCTCAAAGCCATGAAAGTGCATAGTACATAACATTTCAATTTTCAAAGATAGAATAATCCACATTCAATAAAATAAAAACATAAACACTAAACATCTAAAACATAAATATCCAACAAATACTAATATGTCTTAATACTTAAAAACATCAATATCAAAAGAAAGGGTAGGTTTGGTCGGTCAGTCAGTCAATCATCATCCTCAACATCAATGGCAAGCAAACTATCATCTTCTTCTCCATCAGTTGATTTGTATCCCTCAACATCTTCCTCCTCTGTGTCATCTGAGCCCGCTTCCTCTTCATCTATTAATTGAAGTGGAGTCAATGTTGATGATTTAGATATCCTCGGTTGTGCCTTTGAGCGTGAACTTGTTGCTCTACTTGCATGGCTACTTTCTTCTACTCCAGAAGCTCTAGCAACAGTGGCCCACGTCAAGCCATCATCATCATCAAACACAAGCTCATTATCTTCATCTGATTCTCCATCCATCCTCCCAAGCAACCACTCATTGCTTTCATCAAAGTCTTAGTAAAAAATAGAAAAATTAACATAGACTAATCATTCATAGTATTAAGATAATTTTTTTAAAAATAAAAAGTAATCAAGATTCAAGACAAAATATAGAATAATTCTCAAAGCCATGAAAGTGCATATTACATAACATTTCAATTTTCAAAGATAGAATAATCCACATTCAATAAAATAAAAATAAAAATAAAAACATAAACACTAAACATCCAAAACATAAATATCCAACAAATACTAATATGTCTTAATACTTAAAAACATCAATATCAAAAGAAAGGGTAGGTTTGGTCGGTCAGTCAGTCAATCATCATCCTCAACATCAATGGCAAGCAAACTATCATTTTCTTCTCCATCAGTTGATTTGTATCCCTCAACATCTTCCTCCTCTGTGTCATCTGAGGCCGCTTCCTCTTCATCTATTAATTGAAGTGGAGTTAATATTGATGATTTAGATATCCTCGGTTGTGCCTTTGAGCGTGAACTTGTTGCTCTACTTGCATGGCTACTTTCTTCTACTCCAGAAGCTCTAGCAACAGTGGCCCACGTCAAGCCATCATCATCATTAAACACAGGCTCATTATTTTCATCTGATTCTCCATCCATCCTCCCAAGCAACCACTCATTGCTTTCATCAATATTTTGCAAAGATATGAGATCAAGAGTGTTGCGCATGTCATACCTAAATCTCAATGTTCTATTATATTTGACAAACACTAAATCATTGAGACGTTGTTCCAATCTATTTCTTTTCTTGCTATGAAGCTGCAAGTATTAAAAAGATATTAAATTCTATATAATGAGAATAAAAAATATTTGAATTGAACAAAAAATTAGTTAGAATGTTAAATACTCACATGTTCAAATACACTCCAATTTCGTTCACAATCCGATGAACTACATGTTAGGCTAAGGATTTTTATGGCAAATGTTTGCAAATTTGGAGTTTTAGAACCATATGATGCCCATCAATCAGCTGCTATAGTCCACTAGTTAGAAATACTTGTTACCAAGTATTGAATTTTACTAAAAGTATTAGTAAAAATAAACTCTATGAGTCTAATAATATATTACCTGGTGCCCTTGTATTTCTTTGCCTAATCGCAACAGACTTGCCAAAAAGACTCTCAGCCTTCATATAAATACTCATCTCATTAGTGTTCAAATCTTGAACAGTGACATCCGGGACCAACCTTTGCATGCATTCATAAAACCCATTCATCACTTCATGATCTTTTTGCACCTCTAATGCTTTTAGGTAAAAGAATTCTGGGTTAAGAAAATGCGCAGCTGCATGTAAAGGTCGATGCAATTGAACATCCCATCTTTTGTCAATGATTTCGAAAATTTCATTATACTTCTCTTCTTTATGATCAAATGAACTTGCAATGCATTCTTTTGCCCTATCCATTGCCTCATAAATGTATCCCATGGGAGGTTTCTTCTCGGTATCAACCAATCTAAGCACTCTGACAAGAGGACCCGAGACCTTAAGGGCAAACACAACAGTATTCCAAAATGAAGACATCAACAAAGTTTGTGCCATTCTTTTACCTTGTGGCTCCTTTGCCCATTTGCTTGAGGTCCAGTCTTCGGAGGTGACCATCTTTCTCAAATTGTTTTTTTGTTGATGCATCCTAGACAAAGTCAAAAAAGCGGTTGCAAATCTAGTTTTTGCAGGCTTGATCAAATTCTTCAGATTTGTATACCGCCTCATCATGTTTAGCAACGTAGGCCGGTTGTAAATGTAGCCATGTACTGCAATACCCCTTTCAAATGTCTTTTTAGTCTAGGTGTTTTGAAAATGTCTTCTAACATCAAGTCCAAGCAATGAGCAGCACATGGAGTCCAATACAAGTGTTCATACTTGGCTTTCAAAAACCTCCCTATAATGTAACAATTACGAAAAATTATTATTTTCAAGTTTTTAAATTTTAAATACAAAACAAACTACAAGTAAATAATTTTGACGTAAGGAAGGAGGAAATATTCTTACCCGCCAACACATTAGCTGCAGCACTATCAGTGATAACTTGCACCACATTCTGTTTTCCAACTTTCTTGACAAACTTGTCTAGTAATTCGAATAGCTTCTGCCCATCTTTTGAATAGCCAGAAGCATCAACCGACTCAACAAACATGGTTCCTCTTAGACAATTAACTAAAAAGTTAATCAATGTCCTTCCTCTCTTATCAGTCCAGCCATCAGCCATTATGGAACATCCGTATTTTGCACAATCTTCTTTATGATTCTTCATCAAATCTTCAGTACACCTCTTTTTTGAGTTGGGTAACCCACACTTCGTGGTAAGTTGGTGGCTTCATACCGGGACCATATTGCCTAATGGCTTTAATCATTGGTCCAAAGCTCTCATAATTTATTGCATTAAAAGGGATACCAGCATCATACATCCACCTTGCAAATCTTTGCACTGCCCGAGCTCTCATTTCTTTTTTGTAAGGGTCATTCGCATCAATTTCTCTTTGGCATTTTTAAATTGGTTTTGAATTTGGATGAACCTTGGCTGCTAATTGTCAACCTCCGGTGTTGATTGACATTGATCTCAACAACATCGTCATCTTCATCTTCATCTTCATGTTCCATGTCCCTGTCATCAAAATCGGGCAACATGTTCATTTCTTCTTTTTGTGTCTTCTTTTTTGACATGAACCCTCTAATCTCTTCTCTGACATGAGTTGAACACTTCGGGCAAGCAGTGACATTCCTATAACCTCCCGTGAGGTGTTGTTTCACCCGATAAACACCTCCATTTGATACTTTACCACAAAAATTACACTCAAACTTGTTTGAATTATTCTCCTCTACCAAACGGGCATGTTGCCATGCCGGATCTTTTCTATTACTTTCCGATGTCATTTTCTACACAACAAATTTAATAAATAGAAAATAATTTCAGTGTAATGTAAGTGTGATTAATTGTGTAATGTAATGGAAAATAATGAGTAATGGAAAATTACACATTAGCACAGTGTATTAATTAATGGAAAATTAATTAATACAATGTAATGGAAAATAATGTAATGGAACATTACACTCAGTGTAATGTAATGTAATGGAAAATAATGTAAAGTAATGTGATTCAATTTAAAAAATAATTAATGTAATGTAATGTGTCAATTTAGAAAATAATGGAATGTAAAAAAAACAGAGACCAATAGCAGTGTATTAATTAATTATTTGTAAAAAAAAATTCAGTGTATTTTTTTAGTTAATCAATCAATAAGATAAGTCTTATTTTGTATTTCTATTTTTTTTTTTTAACAGAGACTCAAAGGCATAATTGAAAGGAAAAAAAAAAAAAACAAGACAAGCATAAGAAGAGACTCTGTTCTACTCTTTCACCAAAAATTTGGCAAATTGAAGTTATACATTAACCATCACAAAAAAAAAGTCCTAAAAATTTAAAACAAAATGTTAATCTAAGTTCGGTAACAAGTATACACAAACGAAACAGCAACAGAAACAATTATAAAATAGAGAGACAACATCCACAATAAATAGGTGGGGGGGTGGGGGGGGGGGGGGGGGGGGGGGAGGGGGGGGAGAGAGAGAGTCGAAGTCGAAGTCGAAGTCGAAGAAGAAGCTGAAAGAAAAAAAAAAAAACAAACGTCACAGATTAGGGGAAGAAGAAGAAGAAGAAGAAGAAGAAGAAGAAGAAGTAGCGCACCTGGAAGACGAAGAAGAAGAAGTCGTAGCCCAGTCCAAGTCGAAGTCGAATCGAAGTCGAGAGAGGAAGAGACAACATAGATTAGGGATTTCGTTTCAGTCGTATTGGGGTTGTATTGCATATAAGTTGTAATCCTCTGTGGTTAGAACCATTCGAACACATACCACAACCGTTAGATCAGAATGAGGGTGTAGACCATCAATCGTGCCCAGGCGCGAGCCTTGCGCCTCTCTCGCCTGCTTCAAGTCGTGCCTAAGGCGCGCGACTTCTTCAACGCGCCTCGCCTGGGACCAGCTTAGTCGCACAGTCTGCGCCTCGATGCGCCTTGCGCCTAGGCGCGCTTTTCACAACACTGCTTCAGGCAGAAAAGCAAAGTGTGCAACAGGCAAGGTGTCGACACCTCCCAGATTGGTGTTGACACCAAATTTCAGCAAGCATTTCCAATACAAGGGTCGACCCTTCCCAGACTGGTGTCGACCCTTGAGGCCAACAACAAACAAAAGGCAAGTGTCGACCCACCAAGATTGGTGTCGACCCTAGAACAAGAACTTCTAAGTTCCCAAACAACTTTTCAACGTAAGCTAAATGAGCAATCCCAACAAGTTCAAATCGATTTGTACTACTCTAAAACCAAGATACACCACCACCAAATATTTCTAAAATAAAATAAAGGATTCAAGTACACTTCCCAAAAGATTTAAAAGATACAAGTGTTACAGGAAGAATTAGATCTTCTTATGTGACTGTTAAACTTGTTGAACATTGCTAGTTACTTATATTTGAAAACAATTCTATAGTTTGTTTTCCCTCTCTTTCTTTATCATTGTTTTTGTTATTGATTGTTTGAAGAATGAATAATGCATTTTAAATTTGACTACGTCATTTTCATATGTGGCTACAAAATATTTATTCAGCATCTTTTACATTTAGTCACTATCAAGATAGCAACACAATAAAGGTGAATACACAAATTTTCTTTGGCCTCGTTTGGGAAGTGGCTATTTTAGTAGGCTATTTGACTTTTTGGCTATTTTAGTAGTTTATTTTAGTTTTGTGTTTGGGAAGTTGAGTTAAATTTTTAGGTTGATTGTTGTATTGAAAAATGTGTTTGAAATGATGTTTAAATTGAAATTACGAATTTACCCTTCACTTTATTTTTTTAAAAAATTGAGGAATAGGGGTAATAATGTAATTTAGCAAACCTGCAGCCTACACTGTTGGTGGCAGTGTAGGCTGCACTGCTGCAGCAGCCGACCAACAGTCAAATTTTTTTTTTTTTTCTTTTTTTTTTTGAAAATCAAGAAAAAGTTTGCTACAGTTAGGCTTTCGGGCTGATTTTCAGTTTTAGGCTATAATAGCCTAAATCTCAGGTTGCCAAACAGCGCCTTTGTTAATTTTCTTCAAGTATTTTGTTCATTTGCAAACAATTTATTTAGATCATTTTAAGTTTACAATTTGATTTGTGTATTTTGCTCGAATCATACTAGGATTCATCTGCAAAGCAAAAAGCCTATGGACCCATATCTTCAGTTTCGCTCAGGCAATGTTGGTGAGTTTCGTGAATTAACTCCTACTAGAACAATTTACACTTTTGGCGTCCAAATTTGGGAACAAAAAGGAATTTAGTCGCCAAAAGTTGTACAATAGGTGACTAAAAATTATGTTGGTTGGCGTTGTTTAAGGTTTTAGCTACTAAATTTTTTTAGCCGCTGTATATCAATTATTGACGACTAAAAAAATTTAGTCACTAAATATGTCACAATAGGCGACTAAAAAAATATTGGTTGCCGTTAATTCAGGTTTTAGGGTATTAAAGTTTATTTTAGTTGTGATATACTAATTTTTGGCGACTAAAATAAATTTATTAGCCAAATTACTACCACCATTTTACTTTAAATCTTGGGCGGCTGCTTGATTTGGTCGGCAAATATGCATTTTTGGTGACAAAAATATTTAGTCGTTATATACTAATTTTTGCCAACTAAAATAAATTTAGGAGCCAATTAAATAGAATAATTTTACTTTAAATCTTTGGCGACTATTTGATTTGGTCAGCAATATATAGTTTCGGCGACTAAAAAATATTTAGTCAGCAATAAAGCTCAAATTTTTTGGTGGAAACACGAACCCAATTTGAGTTTATGTTTAATTTTAGTATTATTAATTTTTTATTTCTCTATATCACAGATACATACACCAAACAGAGTGACCAAACACCAAACAGAGTCTTGCTCTCCCACTCTCTCTCATAGTCGCTCACCGTCGGTCATTCACCATCTCCTCGGCTCCCATCGACATTCAGGTCTCTCTCTCTCTCTCTCTCTCTCTTCCTTTATTTTCCCATTTAACTCTAGCTCTAGTGTTTTTTTTTTGGGTTGATGTTGTAGGATTTTGATTTTTGTGAAATGAGTACATGAGTTTTGATTTTTGTTCTAGATTTAGGGTTTTTTGAACTAAGGCCAAGTTTGGCATGATTGAAAAAAGATAAAAAGTCAAAAAGTCACTATCCTATTTAAGTCACATCATCTTATTTAAGTCACATCACCTCTCTAACACATCACTTCAAACCCAACCCAAACCCAACCCATTTTTCATAAAAAGTCAAAAAGTGCACTTATTTAGTCTTCCCAAACTAGGCCTAATTATTGGTGTGATAGACGAGATGATTTATCCTGTGAAATGATTTAGGGTTTTTGAATTTCAAGTTGAAGATATATTGAACAAACGAAATGGATTGTAGTTTTAATCATACAAAATTTTCTTTCAATACTTAACAAGGTGCCAATAGCCAAAGCCCTTTTGCTCTGCTTGCCTACTACTCTCTCCTTTCAACAAAGAAATAGGTCCAGAGCACTCCTTTTGAAAAACCCAAATATATCTAGGATCATCCCCAGGCTTTAGATAGCTACATATTTGGACATTTTGATCCTGTTTGTTTTAGGCTGATAAAGAATCTAAAATGTTTAGTGCAAATCAAACTCAAACTTACTGTCATGTAGGCCAATTTTAAAACAAATCTAATTCATGCACTTAATTTTTTGGTAAATTTTTCAAGGATTATGGATTTGAGTAAGGATTAGGGATTGTTTTCCAAGTTGATTCAATGATTTAAATTATTAATGAATATATAACCAACGTCTTTTTTTTTTTTTTCCTATGAGTACACACTCAACATACATTCTATTCTACTTCCTTTTCTTTTACACAACCTCCTTGTAATCTGACTTCAGCCAAAGAGCAATTCTAATCTTCATCAACTCACACAATTCAACCAAGTTGGGAATAGAAGCATTAAACACACACTCATTTCTCATCTTCCACAGAGACCACGAAACAGCCAGTTCAAATTTTCCTCTCCTTTTTCAAGAAACCTATCTCCCTCCCACAACTTGAATAGACTTTCAATTGTACCTGACAGCCCACTGTACATCCCACCAATTTAACATTGCAGCCAAAATCTCTCAATATCACTTTATTCCATTTATCTATAAACATGTTCATATTGACATCCTTAACTATAAAAATCATATACATACGCCCCTTTTGAAAGTTATTTTGAAGGGGTAAAAGTGAAATTTTTTTATAATTGAAAGGGATAAAGTGTATGTGTTCATAGATGAGAGGCTACATTGATATTTACAAATAGAGAGGCTACATCAACCATAAGGAAAATAATTTACTGTCACCTGTTAATTTTTTTTGTTTTTGTTTTGTTTTATATAATCAGATACATAACATTTTATTATTTATTTTCGTTATTTTCTTAATGAGTATTTTCAAATAAGGAACCAATTATGATTATCTACATATGTAGTGGGACAAAATGGTGACATAAAGTATTTCTCTGTATATTATTATGACTTTACATGGATTAAAATTAGATTTGGTCATGCAAATATAGGAGTCTGCGTAGTTTAATTTTTGATTTTTTTATTTTTGTAGTGAAATTTTGTTTTTATTTATATATTAGTCATTTTTTAATTTTTTGAATGTACCTAAAAAATAAATTATTTATTTAGAAATTTATAAAAAAATATGAAAATGTGCCATTTTTATTACGTCATGAATTTCTTTTAAACTTTTTCACAAATATTTTAATTTTTAATTGCATCTAGATTAAGTGCAAGTTTTATTTAAAATATAAAAAGTTCAGTAAAATCAAAAATTAATAAATTGTATTTTAAGTTTGAAAACCACGCAAGGTGCAAGCCTTTTTGGCACTTTTTCATAAAGTATTTTTATTATTATTTTTTTTAACGAGAGCTGGAGGGAGACGGAAGGTGTGTAGAAAATTCCAGCGGGCAGCAAAGGCAAAGTTGCCGGCCGGCTGCCCGCCGGTGAGAAAGAAATACAGGCCTAAATCTTAGGCTCTGATACCATGTAAAAATTGATGTATTATTGATTGATATGTTGATTATGTTTACAATGAGTCCTATATATAGAAGATTAGAGGAGGTAGGTATGTAGTAGTAGGTGGAGTAGTAGGTGGAGTAGGTGAAGTGGGTGTAGTGGTAGGTTTTGGTAGGTTTTAACACCCTTTTCTCTTTGGCGTTTTTGATTTGGATTTGGATTTGGATGAACCTTGGCTACTACTTGTCAACTTGCGGTGTTGATTGACATTGATCTCAACGACATCATCATCTTCATCTTCATCTTCATCTTCCATGTCCATGTCATCGAAATCAGGCAACATGTTCATTTCTTCTTTTTGTGTCTTTTTTTTGGACATGAACTCTCTAATCTCTTCTCTTACATGAGAAGGACACTTCGGGCAAACAGTGACATTCCTATAACCTCCCGCAAGGTGTTGTTTCACCCGATAAACACCTCCATTTGATACTTTACCACAAAAATTACACTCAAAGATGTGATCTAACTTACACCATATTATTATTTTATTTGCCTAACAAAGATAAAAAGCATTGTAAGTGTCAGAAATTCATTGAACATCATCAAATAATGTTTAATAACTTTTTTTTAATAGTGTTTTATGAAAAATACCATTGATTATCACAGGACCTATTGGACAATAGTCTACCTATTAGAATCTACACATAACAATTTAGTATTATTAATTTTTTATTTCTCTGTATCACAGACACATACAGCAAACAGAGTGACCAAACACCAAACAGAGTCTTGCTCTCCCTCTCTCTCTCATAGTTGCTCACCATCGGTCAGTCACCGTCTCCTCGGCTCCCATCGGCATTCAGGTCTCTCTCTCTCTCTCTCTTCCTTTATTTTCCCATTTCACTCTAGCTCTGGGTTTTTTTTTTTTTTTTTTTTTGGGTTGATGTTGTAGGATTTTGATTTTTGTGAAATGAGTAAATGAGTTTTGATTTTTGTTCAAGATTTAGGATTTTTTGAACTAATTATTGGTGTGATAGATAAGATGATTTATTCTGTTATATGATTTAGGGTTTTTGTATTTCAAGTTGAAGATATATTGAACAAACGAAATGGATTGTAGTTTTAATCATACAAAATTTTCTTTCGATTCTTAACAAGGTGCCAATAGCCAAGCCCTTTTGCTCTGCCTGCCTGCTACTCTCTCCTTTCAACAAAGAAATCGGTCCAGAGCACTCCTTTTGAAAAACCCAAATATATCTAGGGTTATCCCCAAGCTTTAGATAGCTACATATTTGGACATTTTGATCCTGTTTGTTTTAGGCTGATAAAGAATATAAAATGTTTAGTGCAAATCAAACTCAAACTTACTGTCATGTAGGCCAATTTTAAAACAAATCTAATCCATGCACTTAATTTTTTGGTCAATTTTTCGAGGATTACGGATTTGAGTAAGGATTAGGGATCGTTTTCCAAGTTGATTCAACGATTTAAATTATTAATGAATATATAAGCAACGTCTTTTTTTTTTTTTCTTTTTTTTTCCTACGAGTACACACACAACATACATTCTATTCTACTTCCTTTTCTTTTACACAACCTCCTTGTAATTTGACTTCAGCCAAAGAGCAATTCTAATATTCGTCAACTCACACAATTCAACCAAGTTGGGGATAGAAGCATTAAACACACACTCATTACTCATCTTCCATAAAGACCACGAAACAGCCAATGGTATAGCCCGCCAAATTTTCCTCTCCTTTTTCAAGAAGCCTACCTCCCTCCCACCAATGGAATAGACTTTCAGTTGTACCTGGCAAAGCCCCCTGTACATCCCACCAATTTAGCATTGTAGCCCATATTCTCTAAGCCAAGAGACAATGCAACAGTACATGGCCCACAGATTCATCTTCATTTTTTCAAAAAACATAGGATTGGGACATTGCCTTGAAGAACACCTATCCTTTGAAGAAAATCAGCAGTCTTAACTCTGTTTTCCCATGCTAACCAGCCAAAAAATTGGACTTTTGAAGGTACATACGTGATCCACACTAGCTTGGTTGTTTCTTCTACTTGTGATGATTGACTTGTACCCAAAAGCTTTTACGATTATATTAATGGAGGGATATTTGAAAAGGTAGAGGTTATACTTCTTTTTGTATGTGTTTGTGTAACACATGCATTTAGTACTAGTAAACAGAGCTTCCCTTAAAGCAATTTCTACCCAAACCTCTAGAAAATCACAACAATACCTAAGTTTACTGGGAAAAAAAATCATATCTATTTTCATACATTCGCATCTAGGATTTTGTCATAAATGTAAGATTTGTTCTTTGTTATATGAAAGTTTTCACAAAAAAATTTCTTTATGCCCATGATTGCAAACTTACATTTAACCATTTTAACTCCATTTTTCAAGTTTTCTTGAAGCATATCTCCATACTAACTTTTCTGAGTCAGTTTTTCTGAAATTATGGACTTGGTTACAAGATTATTTTTATGTGTTTGTGTAACAAATTGTCTCTTGGGGATGCATACCCCTATATTTAAGTGTCTAAAAACATCAAGAACATAATTCAGCTCAAAGAGCTTTGGTTTTGGTGTCAATATTGATAGAAAATTTATGTTTTTTTAGTGCATTTGACTGAAATTTGGGTGGTTAATATTTAAGTGTTTTGGTGTTAATATTAACTTTTTTATAAAATCGATATAATTTTTACAGGCATTTACGCATGCTTAATTGTGACTTTTAAAAGTGTCAATGAAAAGAACATATAAGTGGCATTTCGTAGTAGTGGTAGTAACTTTGCAAAATGTCACTAGAATAACCTCTGATGACACTTATATCCATTTATGACACATATGAATTGGATTTAGGGGCATTTATAAAGTTGTTAAAAATATCAATTGTGGCATAATAAGCGTCATTAGAAATTCGTACAATGGCCATTTTTA